CTCTCTCTCTCTCTTTCCCTTTTGGAGCTGTGTTGTAGCCTTTACTACTCTAACAATTCTTGAAGGGGGCATTGTTTCCCACTGGTAGGCATTGATCAGGAGGCCACAATCCACCCAAAGACAGAGGTAAGCATATCAGCAGCAAACACAGACTTGTTACAACTGACCAAAGTGTGCACAAGAATCGGTAGTGTCAGAGGAGAAAGTGCATGCAGGAAATCAATAAGGAGCAGCTGTTGTTTAAAATAAGGCTCATACATAGGAGTTCCCTGGAGAAGACCAGGGATGTAATATGGTCAGCACCTCAATGCCAGGGTCTGTGCTTAGTGAAATGCTTAACTGTGCCTGATATAAGGTATTCTGCTCACCCTGTGGACTATCAAACATTATCTAAAGCCTCAGTGTAGGAGAACATTCTTAACTTTAAAATGCAATATGCATATATTTTAATGTAATATGCATATATTTAAATGTAATATGCATATATTTTAATGTAATATGCATTTATTTTCCACTTCTGTATGTGTATCATTACCTCAGGTTTCTTGGGACGTGTGTAAAGCTGTTTAAGAAAATGGGGCAGCAGCATGCAATTTCTGAAATTTTACTATATTATTTTTCACACACTGCATGTTTTATGTAAAGAGTTCAATTTGTGACCTGTTAATTGAGCCTGGATTTCATATATTTCAAACTGGGGACAGGCTTAGCCTTGATTTACAAATCTAAGGAGTCTCTAGCTGGTAGTCTGTGGTCACTGGAAATTGATAACCATATCTCATCACCATTGTAGCTGAGAAAGAAGTTGGTCCTCACTAATTCTGTGTATTTTAAATTTTTTAATTAACCATGTAGCTCTCAAAATAAATATATAAAAATATAACCCTGCCATTTTAGAAAGATTTTACATGGGAAAATTGTTTAATTCTTCCTCTACTGAAAGAGTCCAAGATGTATTTTCTGCATGACTTTTTGAGTTGTTTGGTTTTAGAGACAAGATCTCTTGTATCCCAGGCTAACCTTGAACTCACTATGTAGCTGAGGATAGCCTTGAACTCTTTTTTTTTTTTTTTTTTTTCACAGACAGGGTCCCCCTGTGGTCCCAGCTGGTCTGGAACTTGCTTTATAGACCAAGCGAGCCTCAATCTCACAGAGATCCATCTGCCTCTGCCTCCTGAGTGCTGTAATTAAAGGCATATGCCACCACCAGGCCCAGCTAGCCTTGAACTCTTGATCCTCTTGCCTCTGCCCTCCAAGGGTTGGTAATACAGGTGGGCACTGCCACACCTGGCTCTATAGGTCCCAGCTGGTCTGGAACTTGCTTTATAGACCAAGCGAGCCTCAATCTCACAGAGATCCATCTGCCTCTGCCTCCTGAGTGCTGTAATTAAAGGCATATGCCACCACCAGGCCCAGCTAGCCTTGAACTCTTGATCCTCTTGCCTCTGCCCTCCAAGGGTTGGTAATACAGGTGGGCACTGCCACACCTGGCTCTATAGAGGGTTTGAATGTCAAATCTAATGCAGTATATCATGAACCTTATCATATCCACAGAGTAATGCAACTATTTAACCTAGAGTTAGTATGCAACTACTTTATATAAAGGAATTCTTAAAAATTGTGCTAAAACTTTTAATAGATTGTATAGTAAAAAATGAAAACCTCAAAATAAAAAGTGTGTGTGTGTGTGTGTGTGTGTATTATGGATTGGATTTGGTGGCATATACCTGTCATCCCAGCACTCAGGGGGCAAAGGCAGGTGGATGGATCTCTGTGAGATCAAGGGCAGCCTGGTCTACCTATCAAGTTCCAGGCCAGCTGGGGCTACAGGGAGATACTGACTCAGAAAAAGGAAAAAAAATCAAT